ATAATTAAGCTATAAGAGAAGGAGTCAAAGGACTAAAAAAACCTCCCTAAAGCAAAAAAACTGAAGAAATGGGGGGTAAACATACATGCAGAAAGTGAGAGAATCTGAGAATCCACAATATTTTAAATTCAGCCAGAAGGAGTTAATTTTTTGTGACAAAGCAGTCCCTCCACTGTTACAAAGTTCATTATTTATTTATTCAGGAAAATTGTCTTTTTCTGACCTTAAAATGTACTAATACATGACAAAGATCATTGAAAATTGGTCTAAAAATGATGGTGACTGTAACAACAAAAACCTTTGGTAAAAAGGTTATTTACTTATTCTCACATAGAGTTATTTATTCTCACGTAGATTTCTCTAACTAACATACCAATTTTATGCCAGGAAAGTGTCTCCACACACAAATGAAGGCAAACCAGAGCCTGTACTTACATATCAAAGGCACTAAACTCCAGTGTCAAGCGAGCTGGCAAACCCAAAGGATCACCTGGACAAAAAAGCAGCAACAAAGCTCCTTTTAAACCAAAACGTTCAGGTTATTTCCATTTTTTGTTGATGTAAATGACAGCGAAACATACAAAATCCCCAGCTATTCTTTCCAGCGTTTCAGCAAACATGTGAAACACGCCAGAGGAGCAGAATACGCTTAGAGGAGAGCCTGAGCTAGCAGAGCCCGGCGGGTGGGTGCTCACCGTTGTAGTAGTAGCCCTTGATGAGCTTGGGCGTCTCGTCCAGCCGGTACTGGTTGAGTTTCCTCTGGGTCAGCTCGTGCCAGAAGCCCGCGTCCAGCGCGCTGCTGAACGGAGCGAACTGCAGCGGGCACGGCCCGGCACGGCCCGGCACCGAGCGGGCAGCGGCCATGGCCCGGCGGGAGCGCGGCCCTGCGGGACACACACGGCCGGCATGGGCACGGCGACACCGGCACCGGGCACGGCCCGGGAACGGCACCGGACACGGCACAGACACAGGGAACGGGACACGGACACAGCACAGCCACACGGGAACGGGACATGGACACGGCACAGCCACAGGGAACGGGACACGGACCCGGCCCAGCCACCCGGGAACGGGACACGGACACAGCACAGCCACACGGGAACGGGACCGGACACGGCACAGCCACCGGGAACGGGACACGGACACAGCACAGCCACACGGGAACGGGACCGGACACGGCACAGCCACCGGGAACGGGACACGGACACAGCACAGCCACACGGGAACGGGACCGGACACGGCACAGCCACCGGGAACGGGACACGGACACAGCACAGCCACACGGGAACGGGACCGGACACGGCACAGCCACCGGGAACGGGACACGGACACAGCACAGCCACACGGGAACGGGACCGGACACGGCACAGCCACAGGGAACGGGAATGGGAACGGGACCGGACACAGCACAGCCAAACGGGAACGGGAATGGGAACGGGACCGGACACGGACACGGGAAGGACACAGCCACACGGGAACGGGGCTGAACACGGACCGGACACGGGAACAGCACAGCCACATGGCACCGGGACCGGCCCTGCACAGCCTCACGGGCTGACAGAGGATCTACACGGCACCGGGCCCGGACACGAACACTGACATGGGACCGGCTCCGCACAGCCACACGGTACCGACACCGAACATAGACACGGGCCATCCCCGCACACTGACATGGGAGCGGCCCCGCACAGTGACACGGGGGCAGCGCCCGCCTCATCTACGCGTGACTGCGGCCCCGGGGAGCCGGTGAGGCCCGGACACACCGACCGCGGGGGTGCAAGGGGCACTGCGGGGACGGTACCGGGGCTGTGACCCCGCGGGGGCCGTGCCGATGGCGGTGCCCGGGGCTGTGGCAGTGCCGGTGGCGGTGCCCGTGCTCGGGGCCAGCAGGACCCGCCCGCTCCATCCCCGCTCCCCCGTACCGGCTGCGCCGCTCGCTCCGCACTTCCGGCATCCCCGGCCGGCGCACACCGGTGATGTTACCGCGGCGCGGGGCATGTGACGGGCCGGGCGGCGCGGGATGATGGCGTGCGGGGCACGGTGGGTGGGCCGGCCCCGGTCCCCATCCCCATCCCCATCCCCGTCCTGTCCCTGTCCTGTCCCGGCCCCGGTCCCGGTGGGATGCGGCGGTGCCGCCCTCCCTCGGTAGCATCCCCCGTCTCGCAGCGGTCGGCGGGCCCGTGTCCCGCAGCGCTCGGAGCCGTCCGTGTGTCCGCTGCCGTGTGCTGCTCCTACTTCCCCGGCACGCAGCAGAGCCCTCAGGAAATCTAATAATTTAATTTAATTCCATTTTAGATGGTGTTAAAATACCCAAACGTGCGCCTGCGCTGATGTTTCCCCTCCCGTGTGCGGCATATTGTAATACTGGCTCTCCGCGAGTGTTAAAATGGATTTTGTATGTGTGGTGTTGAAGTAACTTTGTTATAAAGATACAGTTTTTGTTTTTGTTGTTAAACAAGCTTAGTGAAAGCGGATGTAAGTGTGCTTGTGTTACAGTGCCTGCTGGGATGGGATAACGCCCAGTGAACACAGGATGAGGACACCTGCAGAGATCTGCGAACCATCAGCACCCACCATCTGAAGGAAATATGGACCATATTTTGGTCAAAATATGGACAGTTATGGACCAAAGCCCATAACTGGAGGTGATAAGAATGGACCAAAACCACAACCAAGGAATGTGCACGCTCTGAAAAGGTGGAACCGAGGAGGAGCCGAGCTAAACAGTTCTTGGAACATGTAAACTAGTTTGGGGGGAAGTTTACTATGTAAAAGTAACTTTTAACTGAAAAAGTTACTTTATAATTGTTTGTGAATATGTAACAGGCTGATGCAATAGAAATAGTATCTAAAGGGTGTTTCCAAACTAGCAGGTGTGCTCTTGGCTGGGTACCAAGATGCACCCAGCCATAATAACCTTTGCTCTATGCTCCTTGTCTCCTATTGTCCTTTATTAAACTTTTTAAATGTTCATAAGAGAATGAACTTGTTTTTCACATCTCCAAGAGATCCCCAGACTCTCATTGTGTTCTCTGAAGCTCCGTGTCCTCTGACCTTGGTTGTCAACTGGAAAAGGCTGAAAACATTTTACAGGAAACCACACCTGAAATGTTCTCTCGAGCCTTGCCCCACGTTGGTGGGAGGCTTCTCCATTTCTTACTGTAATTTGCTTTCCTCTACTTCCCTCACATCCAGAGCCACTGGAACTGCCTGTTCAGTGAAATAAACTCAGACATTTTCGTAGGTACTTGCTATTTTAAATAGGCACTGTTCCATTTCCCTGTTTTATTGTTATCTTATAGCTATAAAATGTGGCTATCACAAATCCTCTGTCTTTGCTATGAACACAGTTACACAAAGATCATGGGTAAAATGACTTGAGATTAAAAAAAAAAATATTCGGGCAGCTTTATTTTCCTGGGTTTAGCTGTTTGAATGTTCTTTATTTTTACCAAAGGTTTTTATTGTTACAGTCACCATCATTTTTAGACCAATTTTCAATGATCTTGCTGAGGTTTTGTAATGTGTTAGTGTATTAGTACATTTTAAGGTCAGAAAAGGCAATTTTCATGATCAACAGGACAGATTTCTTGAAAACTCTCAGCAGCCCTTGGGTAAAAGTGTTTTTCAGCACTAATAACTGTGGCTGACTTTTATTTCCTCAGGAATCATCTAAATTACCATCCATTTTGGTCAGAATTGCTGTTGCAAATCAGAACAGAAAAAAACAATTTAATGGCTGTGAACCTCAGCAATTGTTTGTGGAAGGCTAGGGATTTTAGAGCATGTGTTTCAAAAGGTTCTGTTCTCTACTCCAAAAAGGTGCATTTTACTACTTGTTCAGGTGTTCCTCCTGCAGTGAAAAAGTTGTCTGAATTCTGCAGTGAATTTTGTTGGTTTTATGTTCTCTCTCTGCATTTTGCCTTATTTCTCCTAGATTTAATTTTCCTAATTTCAGTTTTTCTTGCATGAAACTTGAAACCAAACTCAATTAATCTCTGAACTTTGCATGATACACTGATATTGCCTGAATTAATTTTAATTTTATTCCTTTAGCACATTTCCCCAGTTAAAATGCAGATATATTAGGGCTTCATTTAATATTGAATCCTTTAAATACAATTAGGAAACTGTTCAGAACGTGGGAAATTCATCAGCACAACAAAAGGAATGAGAGATCTTTCTTTTTTCTTTGTAATATCAGAGCCAGCCCAGCTTTCAGTTGCACTCCAACACCTTCTTGGTCTCTTTTCCAACACTGAGTACTCAATTATTGAGTTTTTCTCCTGAAATATTTGACAACAAAATTTATGAAATACAATTAAAAACAAAGGGTAGAAAAGGTAAACATATTTCATGTATAATCAACTATGTTCTGCAAGTTTAGAAACGGCATCACACCCTTCTTGAGCAGATGGTGACAGTATATTGAGCATGGAAATTCTTTTGGGACATAAAAAATCTACTTTTTTTCCAGCAAAGTTAATGTACCAGTTAATATAAGCATGATATCAAAGAGATACAGTAGGATACACACTAAAACTTGACATTTGATGAAAAGTTTGTGCTTTAGAGGAAGCTATAAATAAATAGGGGAGTTTTTTTTAAACAGTTGCTAGTTCTTTCTTTGACTGTGCAAAGTACCTTCACTTGCAAATCTCACTTCACAAGCAATGTGTTTAATGGAGTAAGTTGAAAGAGAAAAATGTTTTTGGCCAATGACAGAAATGTGATTTCTTCCTTTTCTGTAGGTGAATAATTTACAATCACTGAAGAAGTTTATTTGTGTCTCCATTTCTGTAATGGAAGCGGTGGTCTCGAACGGTTACAACGGTGTAACAGTTCATGTGTTGACCTTGAGTTTTTCAGATTCTTGACCTGAAGTTGCTCTTCAAATGAGTTAAAACTATTAAATACACTTTTCCCACTTCTACTACCACTTATTTACAGACTACAGTTTGCCAAAGTCTTTTACTGTACCCATCCTTTGAAACAGGAACGTTTTGTTTGGTCAAACTCCTGAGCTGCACTAGAGCTCCAAAACCCCAGACCAGCATCAATGAATGTGAAGGATCTTTTTAAAAGTTTTCTTGAAATTCTGGTTGCAGAGAGGATAGAGGAATGGGTTTAAGGTGGAGTTGATGTAGCCCAGCCATATGGTGACCCTGTGCAGTTCTGAGAGCTGCTTGTAATCGTGGAACGTTATCACCATGAAGAGCACGAAGTAGGGGATCCAGCAGAGCATGAAGGCTGCCATGATCACTCCCAGCTGCTTGGCTGCCTTCCTCTCCCTGTTCCCGTGCCGCTGGATGCTCCTGGAATGGCCGTGCAGGGTGTGCCAGGTTTTCCTCAGGAATGTCATTCCCCTGGAGTCCCTACGCTGGGTCCCTCCCTGAGGGCAGCAGGGGTTGGGCTGTGCCCAGGGGGCCACCTCAGTGAAAGTGTGGTTGTCTGATGCCCCACTGGAGTCACTGTCCTGGCAGCCAGGCTGCTCCTTATTCCCAGTTTTTTTCGTGGCACACGCCCCCCTTTTCCTTGCTTTATCCAGGCCAGGCTCAGGCTTGGCTGTGGTGAGAGAGAAACAGCTCCACTTCAGGACCTTCCCATTTCTCAGGGCCTTTGAAGCCCTGTCAGGATGGCTGAAATGAAGCTCTGCCTCCACTTTCTGGGGCTCTGGGGAGCTTTGCTTGTTTGCACCGGGGGTGTTCCCACCTAAGGTTTGCTCCTGGGGGCAAGTATTTTTCTCATCCTTCATCCTGGTGTGATGTGTGGTGTTTTTTTCCGTGGATGACCAGTGGGACCCATTGCTGAGCTCTCGGTGCTGGCAGTGCCGTCGAACAGCCCTGAAGATTTTGCAGTAGAACCACAGCATCAGCAGGGAGGGCAGGTAGAAGTTGAAGATGGCCGCCAGCACTTTGAACCAGGTGACTTCGAAGAACTCCGTCTCGCATTTGTTTTCCTCCACCTTCCTCTGCCCGTTGTTGGCAAAAACGTGCCAGCCCAGGATGGGGATGACCCAGGTGAAGGAGAGCAGCCAGGCCCCCAGGATGAGCAGTGAGGCTCTCATCTTGGTGCGGTACTTGAGGTACCGCAGCGGCTGCTGCACCGAGCGGTACCGGTCCATGCACAGGATGAAGAGGTTGAAAATGGAGGCCGTGCTGGCCACGTAATCCATGGAGAGCCAGAACAAGCAGGCTGCCAGCCCCAGGGGCCACTCGGGGCTCAGCAGGTCCACGATGTTCAGGGGCATCACGGCCGCCCCCACGATCAGATCGGCAATGGAGAGGCTCACGATGTACAGATTACCCACAGTCTGCAGCTTCTTCTCCCTTCTCACGGCACACAGCACTAGGATGTTCATGACAATGGTGACCAGGGAAATGCTTCCCAGGAACAGGCCGAGGAGGGCCGGGGGAGCGTTGCTGGAGGCCTCTGTTGTGTTGTTGGACATCTTTTTCACGGGCACGCAGAGTGAGAATCGGAGTGGGCGTCCAGGCCTTGGACGCTCAGTCATGGTTTGCACTCCTGGGTGAAAACGTGTTGGGTTGCTTGGGGATTTTTATTTCCAGAACTAGGGGAAAGAAAAAAAACCTACTCAGTCACTCTAGTAATAAGATAATAAAGATAATAATTTGTGCCTCAGTTTAGCACTGTCCCTTTTAGGGCTTTCTTAAATAACAAATTTTTACAATATTTTACATACAAGTAATTCGTGTTTTACCCCCACTAAACAATCCCAAACAGTTTTCTTAGAGCTTAATCTCTTTCTGATCCCAAATCCAAAGAAGAAATTTAATTACTCACAGTTTTAATTCATTATATCTCATTAAACATCTGATCATGAACCATAACATAAACTCCATATTGGCAAACCAATTTAAAATGTGCTAGTAAAAAGCAATATTAACATATTTTGCACTAAATAATTTAAACCAGCCAGTGCTTATTTGCAACCTCCGTCTAATAGTTTGAGTATCCACAGTTGGCAGTCAGCAGGCAGTCATTCCAATTATAGGTAATGAGTAATCTCTTCATACACAATTTAGGCTCACACAGATTTCAAACATTTAAAGATGCGAGGCCTATTTGAGATCAAATGCAAAATAATGGGATAATGGGATTTTTCAGGATTAATAAGCATCTTCTGCTTCCCAACTGCTAACTTCATGTATTGATCCACAGTGCAGGATTGATTAATAATATTTTTACATCTTGGAGTAAACGATAACTGACAAAATTCTGCCTCCTGTTCATTGATGAAAAATGTCTGTGAGGGTGACACATATTCTGTGCCATTTCATAGCTTGCCTGAGTTTATGTCCTGGTAAATCTCTCAAAGCAATAAGGAAGGAAATTGAGACTGTGAATATATTTGCTCAAAGTATTTACACAACCAGCACTGAGGTATGCATGGGATTTCTCACCCTCAGAACTCTAAACATGGCCAGAGCAACACAATGCAACAGATTGTTCAATAATCAGCATTTCCTATTGAAATTCAGTGATGCAATATTCATTTAACTTTATCCTTTTCATTCCAGTAATCAGGGTTTAAGCTCCAATGGTTTGTGCTGCCTTATGAGAGGTCAAATTCCTTCTTGCCTGGGTGCTGGGTGGGTGCACAGGTGGGTGCTGGGAGAGGAGCTGCGTCCTTGGTGCCAGCAGCATCCATAGGCAGAGGAGACAGGAGCACCCTGGGGACTGCTGTGATCCTGGATTCCTTCAGGCTCTGCCAGGACAATTCCTCTGTGGCAGCTGCTCACAGCTCACAGAGCCCTCGAGCATCTCCTGAGAACAAGGACAGAAATGGCTCTGTGGGTATTGGGGACAGAAATTCTTCCTTGGATGCTGAGGACAGAAATTATTCCATGGATGTTGAAGACAGAAATGGCTCCATGGATGCTGAGGACAGAAATTCTTCCTTGGATGCTGAGGACAGAAATTATTCCATGGATGTTGAGGACAGAAATGTCTCCATGGAAGTTAAAGCAGCATGGCTGGAAAGTGGTTACATCCCAGTTTGTGTCTTTGTCTCCAACTCTTCAGGTGTGTTTAGGTGTAGGGGCACAGCCAAGGCAAGGAGCTGATGTAAGAAGCTGGAATGACTGATCTTCACCCTCACATGCTTCCATTTAAATGTATGGCAAAATAAAGGGAGAAAAAGCAATTTTAATTGAGTCTTCAACTGGAAAAAATAGCAGCAAAGAAAGCTGCCTGGTTAGACAGCTCTCCTTGGCTGCATATGGAATGCATGAACTGCATTTGGGCCTGGTCTGGATGATCTCCAGAGATCCTTCCAGCCCTAACAGTTCTGGGATTCTGGGAATAAAACAGCAGAACACAGTAAATGGTGTTCCCTGCTTCCCAAACCTTCTCCTTGCACTGCTGGGGCAGGATATAGGAAACAACTTGCAGAACTGATCAGGGCTGCTCCTGCTCCAAAGCAGGTTAATGTGCCCTTTCTTCAGGAGCTACTGATGTCATTCCTTATCTCGAATTCAGTTGCCAGTAGAAGAAAGCAATAATAATGAATAAATGGGCTTTAATGTTTGCACAGTTTAATTACACTGAAACAAAGTTTACTAAGAACAGATTTTAAAAAACCCAAACAAAACAGCCTAAACCCTTGGATTGCTTTGTGGAAATTCTAAATCCTGACCTCACCACGAAATGCCTCCTTAATTTTTGCTGTCTTTGAAACACTTTTTCTACAGGGAGGCTCAGCAATCGTGATTTGCTATTGTATTGCATTTCCAAGGAGCAAGAATCTACTGGGAGATGCTAAGTGGATGCCTCAGTGCCTCTTTAGTGCAGGTGCAATCTGAGGCCTGACTGAGTGGGAGAAAGTTTCTAGAAACTGGCACATCCCTTGCTGGCAGATTTTAAAGAAATTACAGCTCCAAAGAGCAAAATTCTTGTTCATCAGACTAAATTCAAGCAGAAAGTGAGATTTTAATTCAGATGGCCTTTACTCACTCTGTTGTACTTAAGAAACTTATTTATTTCTAGTCACTTTTTTCCCCTAAATTATTATTGACTTGTTGAAAGTACTAACATGTTAGAAGATTGATTAATTTCCCTCTCAAAAACTCGTTTATTTCTCTGTAAGGGAACAGGCCCTATTCAGTGCCTGCCAATACTGAAGGAATATTTTTGATAAAAAGTAAATGAAAAAACTTGGTAAACCTACCTGTTGTTCCCACTCAAATGACAATGTCTCAGTCCAGCCAGGACAGATTGGAAGTGTAGCTTCAGCATCCTTCAAGCAGCATTACCAGCTACTTAATTAAACCATTTTCTACACACCACTGTGTTTACTTCCTTTTTTCCTAGGTAAATTTATTATTTTCAAGTTTCAGCCTTAACCTGAAATTATCAGGAGATATATACAGACTTTTTTTGACACTGGCTGGCATTTTTTTTAGCAACACCTTAACACTTGACCTATATTCCATTAATATTAAAAACAGTTAACAGAAGATGGACACATTCCAAAGAATGTTTTGGCCTTCCAAATGTAAGCTCAGACTTCCATGAAACTCCTCTTTTAGCAGCTCAGTTTTCTAGTTTATGTTGTTCTAAATGTCAGTTTTTCCATGACAAATCCGGTCTTGTACTTGTGATAGCATTTCCCAAATATGGATTATTTTTACCAAGAGATAGGAGGAAAAACTCATCTTGGCAAGAATCACAAAGCTTCCAGTTATGGTATTAATTTTCCCCACTAGTCTAAACATTATCAATATCAACTAATTGGTCATCAATGTGATCTCTTAGCAAAACAGTATTTAAATGTAATTTTTCTTTAAGTACGCTGTTCTGTCTTATATTCTTTGCTCCATTACTTGTGTGTAAAAAGGGATTTTGCTGTAGGTGCCAGACCTGTGAAATCACTGCTGCAATGGAAGAAAAGTCCTCTGTGCTGTGATGCAGGAAATAAACACTTGAACTGTAAAATCCCTTATAAACAAGGGGAATTTCCCAGCAATGTTGCTCCTTTAAAGCTGAGCAGCTGCAGTGGTGCCTTTCTGGTCTGGGTTTACAATCTGTTGTTCCAACTCAGTCTAACAGGGCATCTTTCCTACAAGGATAGCAAAAAAACCTTGATTTTTCTGGGCTCCACCTTGTGCTACTACTGACTCCAACCCCTGACAACTGTAAACCTTGGTGGGTTTAATCCCTCTGCATCAGAAATACAATTTAAAAAACTTAACTCACCCTGTCTTTTAAACATTAATGTCTGGTTCTTCGCAAGTGGCTTGGGAGATCACTACTCACAAAAGTAAAAAACAATGTATGTGAAAAAGAGCTGGGAGTTCTTTCAGTGGTGAAGTTGGTCACTGTGAAAACTCTTTGGGGATTTACTTGAGTTCAGCTTAAGTGAGCTTTTGGTGTTTTGGAACTGTATGAAAACCATGAAAAAAGAGCACAGATTTAAACATCCTAGTGGGTGTGAAGAGTCACTCTCCTTGTACTGGCAATAAAACTAAACCCTGTTACTGAAAGATTTATTTTAGGTCACTTATTTTTTTTCCATCTTTAATCTGGAACCTGTATTTTCAGTCTCCTCAAACATCTGGTGAACTTACTGAAGTAATTTGATGAGTTCCTTCATATTTTTGCAATAATTCACTGGAAATACAAAGTTTTTCCTTTGTAGAAATACTCACCTGACTTAAACAAGCTGTTAAAAAAGCTCTTTTTTTTTTTTTTTTTTTTTTTTTTTTTTTTTTTTTTTCCCTGGCAGCTTTAATGCTTTTTGTTGGATTAAGCAGATGGCAAGGGGGCACAGGGTTTCTTAATAGTGAGAGAGCCTGGTGCCTTGTAAGTAAAAACTTAAAAAACATCTTATCCAAGAATTCCCATTCCTCTCCATCATTCCTGTCTGTAAAGGAAGGCTCCATCAAGAATGGGATAAGGTTTAGGGCAGGTCATGTCCCTGCTGTAGGGTCAGCCCCCTCAGGATGTGCTGGACTTGTATTTGAGGAAAGATGTGTATGAAAACAATGCATTTACCATTTTTCCTCGCAAGGGCACAGCTGTTTTCAGAAGAGGGTGTGGGTTTAAGTTCTTTCTCTTCCTCTTTCTTCAGCCAAGCCCCTGTTCTCCCTTAAACGAGGAACCAACCCCTCCCTGCCTGTTTTTCCCTGCCATGTACCCTTCCCTTCCCTCACCAGAGAGATGCTTGAAACAAGAGCATCAATATTTTCTGTGCAGACAGCAACTCCCCCGAACCATCCGAATTCAAGAGTGGCCGCTAAGTACCAGGGGGAATCGGGACTTTATCCGTCTGTTTGCCTTCCCTTCCTTCCCATTTCCACCTGAGCATCCCCGCCGCGCTCTGCCCTTGCTGGCCTGACCCGCAGCGACTCCTCTGTGCCCCCGGGGACCTTTGGGGCTGCTGGAGCTGCAGCTTGGACAAGTGTCCTGCGGGGGAAAGCTGCCTGAGCT